GATTGAAAGAAGCAGGTTTTTTGTCAGGTTGTGTATCTTTATATTATATTTATAACATTTAAATATATTAAAAGCATTACAGACATAAACCTTTGCAGTCTCTTCATGAGGACAGCGTCAGAAGCCAGTGTAATAGTGTCTTTTATTCTTCTAAGCAGAAGCAAACTTGTTATGTCAACTAAAAGTCAGAATCTAACTGTCCCAAGCTGTGAGGTTACATTAAAACAATAGTTTTAGCTCCCCTTTTAAACTTGGCCCAACATGTAAATACACTGCATAATGGAAATCTGTGTGCGAGAAAGAGCAAACGAACAAATGTAACGCCAAGCTCGTATGTGCTAACTCACAGTTGTGCCTGCAGCTCCAGCACAATGGCTTCCAGCTCCTTCTTCTCCTGTTGGCTCTGCACTGTCAGCTCCTCCACCTTGGCTCTCAAACGCTTGTTCTCCGTCTCTACGTTCTTCAGCTGTGACTCCCGCAGGCGCACCAGCTCCTCTAGATAACCCTAAATAACACATATTGAATGAGGCAGGTAATCCTTTGCAGATGCTCATAGCAATGATCAGATACGTAACGTTGTTATGAGTCACCTTCTGAGCGTAGACAATCTTAAATCTTTGTTCCATCTTGCGACACTTGTTGCTCCAGCTCTCCTCGTCTGTCACCAGAGGGATGTAGGGATGCTCAGGGACGCTCTCCTCGCTGTTACTGCTGTCAACACTGCGCCGGTCCTCCTCATCACTAAGGTAGTCATAGCTAAACAAGAGAGAGGCTGGAGTATTAATGTGACCCCATTCCTGTGCATGCATGCATGCATTGTTAGAAGAAGAATGATGTGTGCTCACCTCTGAGTGAACTTCAGGTAAGGCGTATAATCAATCACAGCCGGGGATTTCCCATCCAGAGTCTCGCCCTTCAGGCAAAAACTACACAGAAAGAAATAAAAAAGAAAAATAAATGGAAAGTGCTGTGTACATTATCCATTAATAAACATGCCTACACTACTGGAAGATTTTATGCATTACTAGGTACTATGCTCAGATTCAGATGACAGCTTTAAGCCCACTATAAATACTGGGCTTAAAAAAATTATATAGCAGACCTAAAAAGATGACATACACAAGGTAAGATACTTAAAGGGGGCCTAATATGCATTTTCACCTAAGTAGGATTATTCTTGGACTCTGCTACAGTAGTAACCTTTTATTTACTGTCTAAAACAAGCTGTTTTAGCTACTCTCCCTTGAGACAATTTGGCCAATTTAATTGGCTCCCATCCCAGAACAACGTCAATTAGATCACA